AGATCTCCAGGAATGAAGTAAGAGAAGGGTGGAGAACATCATTGTATGGCTGGAGAAAGGCCATTCAGCACCCTGTGATGTACTTAACAGGAGTGAGTTTAAAAGATATTGGCTAGTTAAACTGCACTGAAAGTACAGGTGCTGAATGCTAAACAACTGAGGAATTTGATTTTATTATGAACTTGATGAGTATACAAAAAAAAGCAATTTTTTCATAGCATAAGAGAAAATGATTTTACAGCATACTGTGCACTCATTAAATATACCTTGGTTTTGGAGATGTTGCAAAGGAGTTACAGAAGTTAGAGAGTTTTTGAAGACTGCTAAGGTATCTGATATATAGGAATTAGGTAAAATGGCAGTACTAGATGTCTTTGCTGAATTTGCTGAAGCATCTGTATTTTCCAATGTCCAGTATATGCTAAGAATCTTTGACACAGAACAAGCAACATGCAGGTTGTGCTGAGCACAAAAGGAGGTGTGCTTTGACAGATCTGCTTTTGTTATTTGCACCTTCGCTTTCAGCTTGTCGTGAACATCTACAACCTGTGTGCTGATCAAACAGTTTAGGCTCTAGAAATAGATGTCATCATAGTTTTAACCTGGAAAGGAATAGCTTTGCACTATCAATTAACTTCTGGGAATAGCCAAGCCAATTTTTCTAGTTCCAGGTAGTGATCACACCAGTAGTTCTGTACGGTCTTTCAGAAATCATCCTTTGTAGCACAAGATCCCTTCAGGAATGTAGACACCCTAAAAAGCCCTTGTGTTCTGCAGACCCTCGACAAGCACAGGATGGCCTGCTGTTCCTCCTTTGATTCTCTAACAGCAGCCAAGCCTCAGACTATGACATAGGATTAGGAAAAAAAAAAAAAAAAAAAAAAAAAGGTGAACAAATTCACAAATGAGACTTCTTGTATTTCTGCTGCTCAAAGCTGTGAATCCTGAAAACATCAGTATGTGAGCTGACCTGCAGAGATAGGAGGTATGCAGATCATTGGCTTTGAATAACTTGGTTCATGCACAGAAAGAGGAAATAGAAGATTTAAAGCAACTTGTGGGAAAGGGGGGAGAAAGAACTGCATATTCACCGGTCTGCAGTACAGCAGCGTGTCCTCTTGTTCCACATTATCCATTGCTGCTTTGAGCTGCAGGGCACATGTCTTATTGACATCACAGAATGAAGAAGCTAATCATTCTCTCCGGATCACTTCAGAAACGTGATGCGCCAAGCACTTAACTGTTACTGAAGTGCCATTGCTTTTGTTGCACCATAATTAAATCTGCAGTAATTCAAATCTGCAGAGTAATGAAAGCTGTTACCAGTTACAAACAGGAAGTGAATAGGGTGACTTGAGTATCTTGTAAGCCTGTCTCCCCAGCCAAGCCTGCACATGGCCTTTTTAAGTCAGTTGTTGCAATGACTGAGCATCCTAAACTAATTTTCTGGTAGTAAACAGATGGTAGCATGAGATTTTACCAGCTATAGCAGAGTCTTCACAAGAAATCAGCACTAGAACCTTTAACACCCTAATGAGGCGTTTCTTAGGACTTCTCCAAAGAACATGGCTTTGAAGGTATTATAACATTTTCTTCAGTGTCTGGCTTTTCCCAGGAATGTCTATCTAAAAGTAGGACACAAATATACCTACTTTGTTCCTGGGATGTGACAAGGCTGAGCACTCTGGTCATTCTCATCCTTGTTACTATTAGTGCCTGTACTGAAAGACTGTGCACGGAGAAAAAGACTGGCTTATGGAGAATGCCTGGATATTTAAAGCTTTGGTTCATAAACCAACTTGACATAAAACAATGCAATGAACTCATTTTCTCTATGCAAAATAACCATGAGCACATCCTCTTTATATATCTATATATATAGCTTGAATTCAGTTACCCAATTTCCCTCCAGTGGTAAATTTGTGGCAGAATCAAGTGATCTTGAATTTTTCTACATGCTACCTTCAGTAACACTGCACAGGGAATAAATTATGGTAGTGGACCCTGTTCAAAGTGTAACAGTGGGCACTGTGGTGTCCTACTCTTTTCCTCTGTGCCAACTATTGCCCCTTTGGATTTCTTTGACACTTTTTCCTAGCTGCTCATTGTGCTGACCTTGTCTTTCATGGAGGCTTCTTAAACAATTTCGCCTGATGGGTGTGTGTGTATGTGTGTGTATACAAGTGTTTTAAGTAAACTCTTGTATAACAATTACTGAAAAGAAAGCAGATCTGTCAAGCACAATGGATCTCTGTGCACCTTTTATCACAATGATTCGCTCTGATTCAATTTCTGCTTCCTCTGGTGTCTGAAGCATTTAAGAGGCTGTAACTTCTAAATGGGCAAAAAACAGCACTGCACCATAAGAAATGTGTATGTTAACAAATAATTGTGCATGTTTATTTTAGGATGCATTTTATATTGGAGGGAGGCACACCCACTTTGTGCTTACAAGGAAACTCTTGGGGAATAGGAATTTCTTTAGCCTGCTCCTCCCCTTATTGTTCAATGCTTCCTTGTACTGACAGGAACGGCTTCCTCTCCTTCAGGCAAACTTGCATTCCAGCTTGGTTTTGTTCCTGACATGGCCCAAATAAAACTACTCTGCTCTCTGCTCCTGTCCTCTTCACATTTGAGTTTCTAAGCAGTGAACGTATCAGTTCTGGAATAACAACCAACCCATACAGCCTTCACTGTTCAAATGATTATTTGAAACAACAGACATTCTGAGGTGGAGTTTGCCTAAAACACTACAACCACCCACTTTCAGATGTAAGTTAGATATAAGAATTAGCCTAGAATTTAATTTAGGCATATAAGGGACTATATATACCTACACCCCTGCCCCATTAAGCAGCTGGTTTGAGGTGAAAACTTAAAACACTAAGATTTTGCAGTTGCAGGAGCTTCTGCAGATTTGTCCCAGGCCTGTGGTCTTGGGACAGTGGCCCAAGAAATGGGCTCCATAATTTAGATATACCAGTTCAAGCTTTGAATGGCATCACAGTTGAGTTCAGGCATCTCTTATGCTGCCAAAAGTAGCTTTTTTCAACAAACTTGTGTAGACCTATGCTTTGTTCACTCCTTCATCATTAATTCAGTTCAGATTTATGTTAAAAATTGGAGAGATGTTGAGAAAAGAGAGCAGAAATGTGTTTAGATGAAAGCGACCATGCAGATAGACCACACTGCAACAGTGGCATGAGACAGCACCAAAACTAGAATTCCAGTGGAAGCCAGTGCACACAAGGCCTGATTCTCATCGCTCCTGCTACAAAGAGCTTCAAATCTATAAATGGAAAGTGCCTGAGAAACAGGAGGTAGATGAAGAATATCCAGACAATTCAATAGGAAAGTCTAATTCGGCTCTATAATGATACTCAGTTATATCAGAATAAAGGTGAAAATTGTCTTCCAGAAAGCTTTAGTCTCAAGAAAGTTAGAAATTGAATATTTCTATCCTTCCTATCCTCCTTATCTTATTCCCATAATGAATAGGAGATTTTTAAAATAAAGCCCTTATTTCCCCATTAGTGCTTTCTGGCTCCTATCTCCAGCTTCTATCTCCAGCATTTATTGTTGTTTCCTCCACTGAGATTAAAGACTCTTTTATTATTCAGTATTTTTCTAGGGAAAATATATAGTTTCCTACAGCCATGCGTCTCAACAATTTTATTTCTGGTAAACTGTACAGATGAACTCATTAAATCTTCACAATTGGACAATTTCTCTTTTCATTAAGTCTTTTGGTTTTTTTTTCTGAACGTTTTCCAATTATCCAGTGGCCCCTATAAAATATACAGTGCAGACCTGGGGAAAGAATTCCATAGTGGCTACAGATGATGCTACCTACACATTTCAGTACTTCCTTAGACTCAGTTCTCACTGTTCTCTGTAGCTTATTAATGTATCAGGTTGACTTGCTTGTCCATTATGACTTCTCAGTTGCTCCCAAGGCTATTGTTTTCCCTGTTCGTTGTCACTAAACTGATAGCTTTATAACATACATTAAGTGTAATTTGTTTGAACGGATTCAAGTTAATGACCGCCATCTGTTTATACAACCGCTCTGCCTACATTGTTAATTACCCTTTACCAACTTTTGCATCATAAACTTCGTCATCTGATACTCTTCTGTTTCCTTTCCTACCATGAAAATATTGAACAATATCAGCCCATCACCGCCCCCTGCATTTTACATGCCGCTATTTGATAATGATGCAGAGATAAGTACTGCAGAGATTCACAACTGCCAGTTAGCCTTCAGACAAAACAACCCAGACTGTGTTCTTGTTACAGAAACGCTTCTCCCTAAAATCTGAGCGTGCTACTAAAAATACTGTGCAGGCATCAGTGTTTGTTCCTGCATCAATTCAGTTGCCTTTGTCAAGTCTGTAACTTCTTCCTAAGATGAGGATCAAATTCCTCACTACAAGTCCTGCTATTGAGGAAATGAGAATATGCAAAGCTAAGAGTAGCAGTAAATACAGGAATTCATTTACATCTTACTTGCCGAAGCACTGTTATAGACATGAAAAATGGCTCGGATCAGAAAAGATACAAGTTCTTTCATGGCAGCACTCCTACTTTGTGCACCAGACACATGTATGAAACAGCAAAGAAAGAACTTAGCCTGTATCAGCTGCCATCATATTCACTCTCTCACATCAGAGAATGGCATTAATAAGAGCTCATACTATGTACAAAAGCCACATGCACCAAGCACTACACAAATCCAGGAGATAAAGGAAACAAACCAGCTGCTCTGTGCAACCATAGAAAGAAGTTTCCATATATCAGCCACCAAAACAATACTATGTTCTTGCAAAGCAAGACAAGGAAGAAATTATTTACCTGTGTCTATTTCAGTTTGACTAATGCATGGTCTTATATATTCACCATGGTCCCTACTCCTTAGAGAAGGAATTGTTCTCAGAATAAATTAATCAAAATAACAAATGGAGTTTCACTGTAAGTGAAACGGGCATCTTTTCTTTCAGATGAAGGGCTGGCTTTGGACCTGGGCAGGACATGGGCACGAACCACCACAGTAACTGCCAGCACTGTAAGTCAAGCTAAGCACACTGTCGCTTTCATTTCCATATAGGAAGCTGTATGTTCCAACCTGTAATTACAATTCTGCCAGCTGTTTGAATCAGACAGCGAGGATGTGTTTAAATTGCTGAGGTTGACAGGCCATTTTAATGTCATTCTGAATTGAGTAAAGTACGCAATATAAGCTGTGTAATCTGCCTCAGTATCTTGGAGATGAAATAGATGAGAGAGCATGATTTAAAAGGAAAGTATAATCCCTTTGAGGGATCCAAATAATAAAACACCAGTGTTGTCACTGGTGAACCCCAGGATGTACTGTAAATAACTGAGATTTCACAGCAAAAATATTTCTCTTTGTTTTATAGTGTGCGAATCCATCATTTATTTCACACAGTCAGAGGAAAATAAAAGGTTTAAAATGACAACAGTTACATAAGAAATGAAAACAGTGGCAAAGGAGTCACTTGAAATGGAAAACATATTTAGACTTGGATTTTCTAACAAGGGAGGAGAGCAAGTCTCCCCTTCAAATAGGACCTAGGTCTATATTTAGGCATCAGCTCTCCCTTTACTTGAGCTGAACAGTTTGGTTTTTTTAGCATTGGGACTTAAGGAACTTCAGGTCTTACCTCGTGTTCAAAGCCAGCAGGTTAAGGGTTCCTAAATGCCTCAGTCATTTATGAAATTGGTATTTCAGCTTCTTCACAGTTCTGGTACTTTTGCAAAACGTCTGTGTTTTATCAGTGTTTATCAGTGTACATCCTTCAAATTTGTGATCAAAAGCCCTCTGTATACATCGAGGTTTCACTAGCATGGAGTCAGACTCATAGTAACAACCATCCCATGGGAATTTTGTCCCCTTACAAATCCTAACTAAAATACTGACAGCTGGCTTGTCAGAACGCATTCCACCCAGCGGAAATACAGTGCCGTACTGTACAGTTATTGGAATCCATCCACTATCATTAGATCAATACATGAAGACTCTGAGCTGTCGGGTCAGTAGTTTACAATTTTTTTCTTTAGCTTTATTACAGCCATCTGTAGATATAATACAGTAGCATAACATCACACAGGGAAACTATTGGGGAAAGGGAAAAAGACAATATAATCAGAAAAGGATGAGTTTCAGCACCAAATATCTCAATCCTGCAAATTCACAAATTCTCTGGCATTTTCACTGTCTCTAAGCAGACTGTACATACAAGTCTTAGGTAGGATGCGAGTGCTGTCTGTGAAAAACCCCACGTGTGACAATTACATTATTTTGATTCTAAGATACTAGCATATTTTTTTTTAGTGGAACTGCAAACATTTGTGATGTTTCCACTTGGCTGTGATTTCACAATATGAAGCTTATACTGCAGCAGACAGCTTATAATCACTTGTTGTTTTATATATTGCTTCCTGAGAAGTTAAATTTTTTTCTACAGGTACATACAGCAGCTTTTCCTATATCAATCTCAGTAACAGCAGAAAGAATATCTAGCCTGCTTATGCCTCTGAACATTTTGAAGTCAAACATCTGAACCTTCTTCCTTTGGGCAGCATCTATTCAGCACCCAGGAAACAAATTGATACTGAGAGCCTGGTAGGTTGTGCCTGTGAGGCTGTGAGATGGGGGGTCTGTCTCTTGTCTCTTACCACAGATTTCCTGCAACCTTGCTGGACTGCTTCATCTTTCTTTTCACATCAGTTTTGCATCTCTGAGGATAATCCATGCTTCCCTTCCTGTTTGCCTTTATTTCAACTTCTGCGAGATCAAAGCTGCCTTATATGCCTTCACATATGACTCTGCTTACTGGTGCTCTGTGTTACTATAATACAGAGCTCACCAGCACTGGTCCCTGAGTTCTGCCAGCTAATAAACACTTCAGATTCAGTAGGAAGTTCTGCTTTGCACTGATGGGAGAGACATTCCTTGCATTGTGTGAATATACAAAACAAAGGCTGAGAAGGGATATGAGCACTCTCTATAAATACAACCTGGAGGTAAACACCAGAGGAGGAAAAGAACTATTTTAAGGAAAGGGACAATGTAATCCCAAGAATAAATGGCTGTGAATCTGGTTAGGAAACTAGAAGGACTAGGCAGAGTAAGAGGTTCTCAGCTTCCTGGAGGAGTAGCAGGTAAGCTACCTAAAATGATTTAATTTGATGCAGTGATAAAAGGAGTAATGTGGCCTTGTGATCTGTAACAATGGATATTGCTTTTAATAATGACGTAATAACATTCAGCCCTATACTCCAAAGAAAGAAAACTGCTAATAAAATTTCAGTTTACAACTGAACAACCTGATATTCCTTGCACTGCTCACCCCTGAGATCAAGACAAGATGAGAGCTGCTTCTTTTAATATAACAGAGAGATGGAGAAAGAGTGGTTGGAGAATCACAGCTAAGACGATTTTGGCTGACTTGCTTAACCCTCAGATGAGTTCATCTTCTTGGGATGGACTGAGTTCAGTCCAGACAGAATCAGGAAACAGAACAGAAACGTCAGCACCTTTCAGATAGGAGAGTGTCCCACTCCCAATTGAAAGGGGAACAAGAGTCTTCCTATATAAACTCAGAGCAGCAGTATGACATGCTGATACAACTGCAGAGGATTGAGTTTGTGCCTAAACAATCCTTTCTAGTGCTGTATACCTGTGCTGTGGCAAACAGTGCTTCACAGTTTCCCAACATACGACAGTGGTAAGGTAAAGCGCCTAGCAGTAATATCTCTGGACCTCAGGTTACATCTGTGCAAGTGAAGTGCCCAGCAACAGTCCCTCCCAGGAACAAGGAAACATGGTGAAACAAGTTAGGGCTAAAACAAAAAGTGACTGTTTCTCCTCATCTCTACCTCTACACAACGTTAGATTTTTCTAACAAGTTCTATAGTTAGCAGTAATGGTTTCCCAGACTGTTAGATTTTTTTACATGCATGCCTCATCCCTGAAAACCAGAAAGAGTTAGTAGAGAATGTAGAGCTTGCCCCAGTTTTCTAGTGATTTCTTTTAATGGTTATCTGTTGATGGTCTTGCTTTAGCAGTTGTTCCCTTCTGATCCTATCTCTCACCTTTCCAGTTTCTATCAGGGAAACGATCTCGGAAATTAAGAGAAAGAGGAAAGGACTGGGCTTGCCTCAGAGAGAAAATTGCACAGAAATAAACCCACCAAAACACGCAAACAAACGAAAAAAAAAAACAACAAAAAACCAACCAATATCTCCCCAAAATCCAATTACCAAAGGAAAGCAGCAGAAAATTTCCTAGAGGCATTGTGAAGGACTGAGCGTGTCCGAGGGAGAACGGGCACAGCGCCACTTCCCTCGGCAAGCACAGCCCTCCCCCCGGCCCCTGCCCCTCCACGGCTCGTGGCCACCCTGGCGGAGCCGGTAAAGGGCACCGACAGCCCGGGGCGCGCCGTGTCTCGCGGGGAGCCGGAGGAGCATCACCGAAGAGCAGGGAAGCGGAGGGCCGGCCCTGGACGCAGGGAGCCTTCCCGGGGGATGCCATCCCGGAGGCAGAGCCTCAGAGGAATGCCGTCCAGCCGGCGCCCGAGGGAAGGAGGGTCCCGGTACCATAGAAGGATGCCCGGCCCCAGGGAAAAGATGCCCGGACGCGGAGAGCCGTTCCTAAGGAGCCGCACGCTTACCGGTGTTGTTCATCTTCCACCCCAACTTCCCTCGCTGGCTGCCCCGGGCGCTCAGAGCATGGTCCCGGGGCCGTCACTGCCCTCGCTCCTCGCGAACGCGCCCGGCGCTAGAGCCCCTCTGGGGGCATGGGAGCGCGGGCGGGGCAGCTGGACCCGGCGCGGCGGGCTGG